AGGAATAAAGAAGATAATGAGGATGGGTAATTGGGTTAATTGTTTGTTGATTAAACATAATAATTATATTATTGTGGGTTGAAAACCCTATGTACTCACCAGGTTTCCCAACCTGACCCACTCAGTTTACTTGTATCACATGTGGCAATGTGAAGTTACATTACACTGAGAGATTAAGGAGATATTGATCACTAGTGTAAATGAATGTAAGTTCTGTTTATGCTTATGTTTCTGTATTGACAATGACATCCCAAATGTTTTGAAATGAATAAAAATACATTTCTTTGGAAATGATTTGATAATGAAATTATCATGTTTTTCTGGGAACAAATTCTGCAACGTTTTTATTAAAAGAGATACTCTGACTTTTTTTTATAAAGCATAAACAATAATCGGTCTTTTCTGGCTGTGAAAATGGGGATGTCACATAGCGGCTGAGCCACTTAGGGAAGAGTCCAAGGGAAAGGTTCTCCTACATGGAGGAGACACTATTTTAATTATAGTGGACAATTAGGTCAAAGGGAATTAGGTCAGGCCTTGGGCCAACCCAATTCAGGCCTAACTAGCAAGGAGTTGGGCAAGGCCGCCCGAAGGTGTCGGGCGGGGCTGGCAGGCACGTCTCAGGTAAGGTTGGTGGGCGCGCACCAGAAAAGGTTGTCGGGATGGAAGGAGAGTCCCAAACACGGCTAACAAGGAAGTGCCAAGCAAGGCTGACAAAGGAATGCCAGGCAAGGCTGGCGGGAGCGCGCTAGGCTAGGCTGGCGCTCTACATCCGTCTGACCATGCTAATGGACCATATATCAATAGAAAGCGAAGGGGTCATCCGGTTAACCCCATCATAGTTAGGAGGTATGAATAGATACATCATTTAAATTATTGTCACCTCACTATTTTCGTTACCACATCAATAAATGACCTTTTGACCTACTTAACCCTTTTTCAAATGACACCTTCACTCGTCGCTATCTTCTTCCACTTTCTTCTTCTATTGTTTCTCTCTAAATTGCTGCTATGGCAGTGTATATGAAGGCCGATCTTCATTTGCTGGCATTTTTACTAGGTACCTCGCAATAAGTTACTCAGGTGGAGTGGAGCAACGCTTTGAAGATGTTGATTTTGTAGGAATGGACTTGAAGGAATTTCTACTATTTATTAAAAGATTCGCAAACGAGGAATGTGTGAATGTGTACTTTTGCATGCCCGATATAGAATTTCCTGATGGATTGAGGATAATAGCCGTCAAGAAAGACTATTAGGAGTTTATTCAAGTAGGGTACGACAGTGGATGTGTTATCCAAGTATACATGGATCATCTTGTTGTCAATGTCCATTGATGGATAGTGGATGACCAAGCTGAAGTATGCAGTCCTGAAGACAAGCAGTTGGGTGTAGGGGGGAATAATGAGGAGTTACATAGCATGGGAGCTTTTCAAAACGACATTGATGACTTCCAAGGTAATGTACATGATGCCCTTGGACATGTTGATTCCAATCCTATGAATAAGACCATAAATGATGTTTTTTTGAGCAAGCTATGCCCCAAGGTGCAGTCAATCCCATCAAGTCCTCCTCACGAGGACGCTTATTTTCGTATGGACAAAAATGACATGATTGTTGAAGAAGTAACAACTTATAATGAGAATGTTAACTGGAAAAAACAAAAACTTGTGTTAGTATGAGATTTGAAAGTCCAAAACAATTAAAACATATGTTATGTAATTATGTTGTAGCTAATGGCAATCAGTTGTGCTACAAAAAAAATGATAGTAGGAGACTTTTAGTGAAATGTTGTTTCGGGCAGTGTAATTTTAGACTTTGGGCCTCATGGATGAGTGAAGAACAATCTTTTTAGATTAAGTCACTCATAGATGAGCACAGTTGTGCAAGAAATTTCAAATTGGGATCAATTGTTAGCTATGCTTGGATTGGCAACCACTTTACAATTGAGTTCTTAAATAAGAAAAAAAAAATGAGTGTTAGGATGCTTAAGGAAGAGGCCAAACAAACTTTTGGAATAGATGTGAGTATGGGACACTGTAGGAGAGCAAAGAAACATGCCATTGAGCTAATTGAAGGCACATTTGTTGAGCACTATTCAAATCTTTGGTCTTATGGTGAAGAGATAAGAAGATCAAACCCTGGATTAACTGTGAAGATTGGTGTCAATAGTATGCATGATGGGAAGACTTTTTTTAGTAACTTTTACGTATTTTTTGAGGGACTAAAGTAAGGATGGAGAGGTAGTTGCAGAAGAGTAGTAAATATGGATAGGTGTTTCTTAAAAGGCCTATGTACTGGAGAGTTAATATGTGCAGTTGGAAGGGATGATAATAATAATATATTTCTAATTGCATGGACAGTTGTTTGTGTGGTGAACAAAGAGAATTGGAAATGGTTTTTAGAGAATTTAAGGGATGATATATGAGTGCTAAATGGTTTTGGTATTACTTTGATGTTAGATCAACATAAGGTATGTTAACTACCATATCCTTTCATTTTAATCTAAATGTAGTTGTTTGTTTTAATAATTTCCCTTTATGGTGTAGGGTTTGTTGGAGGTTGTGAAAGACATTTTGCTTACTACAGAACATAGGTAGTATGCAAGGCATATTGTAGCCAACTTTAGGAAAAGATTTACTAGAGTACATTATGAGTGGATGTTTTGGAGGGAATGTAAAGCATCTACTGAGCATTTGTTTAATGCAAAAGGAAAGAAATCAACTTCTTAACCCTACAGCCTTTGAATATCTCATGGAGAAGAACCCTAAATCATGGTGTAGAGCTTTCTTCCAGGAGGGTAGGATGTGTGATGCAGTAGAAAATGGATTATCTAAAAGTTTTAACAATGGCATAAAAGATGAAAGGAAAAAACAATCATCACAATGTTAGAGGAAATTAGATTGTATGCTATGGAGAGACAATTTATTTTGAGCATCAAAGGTAGTTCATGGCCTGATTTTAAACCATGTCCATCTATTACAACCTTACTTAATAAACTAAAAAAAGCTCGAAGGTAAATATAATTTAATATGTTTACATTGATTGCTATAAACATATACTAACTTCTAACAAAAGTTTTTAGATACTGGCAGGTTCTACCAACTGGTTTAAACCAGTTTGAGACAAGAAACTTGGCTGACTCTTACGTGGTGGATTTAGACAAGAAGATCTGCTCGTGTAGAGTGTGGTAACTGAATAGCTATGGTTGTGTGCATTCAGTTGCAACCGTTTCCTTTCTTAATAGGGATTTTGGATGTTATGTGGATACCATGTACTTTGGACCAGTTTACAAGAATACTTACAAGTATCCAATGTATGGGATGAATGGAAACAATATGTGGCCATGTACTAACTATAGTCCACCACTACCACCATTGAGGAGAAAAATGCCAGGTAGAACAAAAGTGACTAGCAGAAAGGACCCAAGTGAAAGGATTATAAGACACATGTTCTCAAAGGTTGGCAAAAAAATATTATGTAGTGTGTGTACAGAAGTTGGACATACCAAAGCTACATGCCTTAAAGTTGACAAGCGCAAAAAACTTAACGTCAAAAGGAGAAAGAAAGAAAATGGAGGAGGTGAAGGAGGTAGTGGAACAAACATAAATGGAGGTGAAAGAGGTAGTGGAACGAACGCAAATGGAGGCGGTAATGGAGGTGAAGGAGGTAGTAAAACGTAACAAAAAAAAGAGACTACAAGGAAAATGAAATATTCAGAAAGGATTATAAAAAATCAATTGGCTAAAAGGGTTGAAGGAAAGAATGGAGAAGGCAATACAAGTACTAATCCACTAGATAGTGAATAAGGATAATGTGTTTATTTTCTGTTTATATTGTTGGATTTACGTATAGATGTTTGTTTCATGTTTTTTTTACTACATTTGGTTGTGTCTTGTTATGTTTTTTGAGGTACGATGTTTCTAAATTATGATTATGTAGTGGACATGCATGGTTGTGTTAATAACTTCCTGTATTATTGTATATCTATGTGGTCCCTTTTGTGGACCACTACACTAATTTCCAATTAAAATATAAGCATGCAAAATAGTGATAATGTGTGTGTAGTGGTCCACTGCACTAATTTTGTACTTAAAATGACATGTTTATTAATTTCCAAGAGGAATACACAACCACATTGGTAAATTATTACAAATCATCCACAAAAGACCATTAACAACCCATTACAACTTGTACACTATTATGACAAAGAAAATAGCCGAACTAAAAAATACACAAAATTTTATCTACCTAACATCAGACTTAAGCTTCTTATTCGACCTAAGCAAAGTTGCAATCATGATAGCCTCACCACTTCTGCTCGTTGTATCAACTTCATCTACCTAGCATATAAATCCATTTCGGGGATCCTGAGATTAGATATTTGTGAGAAACAAATGAATTGTGTTGAAAACCCTTTTTAAATCTAGGGATAAAGTCGAATGAAAGTTGCAATCACTTTTTACTTTTTTGGGTAAGCATAAAAGGGTCGTCATGGGTTGCTTCGAGTGGTTGAGGTTCTTATTATAACATCATACCCATAAGAACATTTCACTGATTTCATGGTTCCTTCCATCTTCATTCCTTCAATTTCCAACGAGAGAACAAGCAAGCAAAAACAAGGATAAAATGGTAATGGTTCTCTCTAAGTGGTATATATTGGAGACTACAATGTGAAAGGGCGAAAATACCCCCAAGCTCCTCAGTAACTAACGGGACCATTCTAGGGTTAGTGTTATTAAAATTGTTTATTTAAATGTTAAACTAATATATAACTTCGTTAACAAAGGTCATCATTTCCATTATATTAAACACAGTTACATAGTCATTTATACAAAATGCCTGCTAAGACAGGGCTTCATCATCCACTTCAAAACGATTACACCAAAAGACGATTTCAGGTACTACACAACAATCCACATTAACCCTAATAGGCAACATTGCACATAAACACAAATAACCTAAGTCAAACACATCGAGAACAAACACCATCGGACTCACTATTAGATTAGAGTGTGCATTTTCCCCACGAGAAAACCAAACGTCACCACCACGTGTCCTACCACCACAACTGTCATATCTTGCATTTTCTTATTGTTACGGTCTAATCGGCACTGCACGGTAAGCATTTCGATCCTTGATATCACAGAATCACTCCCCATTTCCTCCTTAATGCGATCCATCTCCACCTGTGATTCCGTCATTCTCTCCTCACAATCACAGAATATTGTGTGTAAGTCACTGAAGTTCATCCAATCTCGAGAATATAACAAAATCGAATCTGGTGACGATGGTGGGGTAGCCATCTCGTAAATCTCCTGAAAGGGATTGTCTCCTTCTTGTCGGTAGATGTTTGGCCGAAAATAGGTATAAAGTTTTAGGGTTTGATTTATTAAACCATCAATTTTATAAATATTGGGTCCACATTGACCCTTAGGGGCCAAGCAAGTGATTCAACCCAACTCGGTGGCGTGTACGGCGAGTTGACTCAAAGTTAACTCATTAGATGACATGGACCATGACTTGGCTTGGAAACCTCTTAAAACAGGTCAGTGGACCATTTTAGCCGGTAGAACTACACCTCGTACCCCTTAAATGCCAAAAAAAAGAAATAAATAAATAAATAAATAAATAAAAAATGAAAGGAATCATTAAAACCAAAAGATGAAACTTCATAGGGCATAGACTACAGTGACATTTACATATCGTAACATTACAATCAAGTTATAATAATACACAAAAATAATATAAAGAAACTACTTAATTTTGATATTTTTTTTCTGATCACGTGGATTTACAGTTTTAAAACTATCAAAATAATTTGTCACAGTTTTACCCTTTTGGTGGTTCATATTTGAAGAAACATAGAACATAAAATGTCAAAAAAAAAACTTCAAATCCAATCTTTGAGTAAGGAACAATCAATCAATGAATCAGTTCCTTTTTCGATCCTGCAATCACGCAACGGGAAGATCCATTAAGAAATCGCTATTTGTTCGTGTAGCATAAATTGCCATTGAAGATGTTGTTGCCACCATTGATGAATCCCATGCGCTTGTTTGAAATTCTCCGATGGACTAGTATTCACCGTCATATAAGCCGTCGGTAGCAGATGCAACGGTTCCGAATCCCTCCCCACTGCGCCGGAAACCAAACTTCTCATAGTATATCTGGCTGCCGTCCTCTCGATTCTTCCGAATCCGATTCCCTCCATCTTCATCCTATGTTGAAAATACCCAATGTATTCCGCACAGATCGGATCTGATGGATTCACAAACATATACGGGGTCCATTCAGACAAGTTACGAAACGAATTTTCTGGATTTTTACGGTAAAGGTTGATCGCCTTTGCAGTTCCGACCTTTAAGAGATTACCGGCGATACGGACGCCATGTTTCAACGTTTGGTTTTTTATCATCTTCTCGACTGGAAGCGAGAGGAAAGGTGGATTGAAGAGATACGTATCGAGTTTATATCCATCCTTCATCATGTTCCTCCCAGCGAGCATCGCCATAGACGCACCCAACGAATGTCCGGCTAACCAGACGTTTGTTGGCCCCACGTTCATTACCATGTTCCTAACTGCTTCAAAAGCTTTATGAAATCGTGAGGTTTTTTCGAGTTTATTAAAAATTAACTTGATGGTTAGTTTCTGATCGACAGATCTGATCCTGCCTCGAAAGGCTATCACATATTTCGGATGTGTCGGAGTTGATTGATAGAATAAGGGATCAGGTGCATATTTGAGCTCGAAAATAGCTCCATAGGAAGAACCCTTATCGTCTACTAGAACCTGATTCAACTGAAAGTGAAATCCTTCCCACCATTGAGGAGCGCGAGCTTGAGCATCCCGTTGAATGCTTCGACGTTGACGATCCTTTTCCAGAATTTTAACTCCTTGAACAAGGCTTGCAATAACGGATCTTCGATGAAACGTGTTTCTCCTGTAAAACAGAAGCGAATCAGCTACTTGATAAATCAAATCAAATCAAATATTTCATGTTAAAAACAATGATGCATACCAATCGACAGAATTTAGCAGGTGGAAAGGTCCTGAAACATGGAAGAGTTCTCGCTGTGACTCCATTAGTGACTCGAGCTTCTCTTTGAGGTAAACCTGCAACTATATACTTACATAGGAAATTTCGTGGCAGAAGCCAAAGTATTCCGCGATGAAATTTCGTGTATTTTGTAATGTATCTACAAATATATTTTTCAGAAAAAAAATTAATGTAGGTTTGAATTTAAATAATGGTACAAAACTGAAACTTATAAGTTGGTCCCATTTGCAAATTGCAATGCACAATCAAGAGCGATAAGGAAGGTATAGTCAACATTGTGAGGCCTCGTAAGCACCAAGAACCTTCTTAATCTGCACATTTTTAATGGGTGAGGTTTCACAACGACTTGGAGGTGAAGACACTGATCGGTTGGAAAATGGTGTTGTAGTAACAACTTGGTTTACCATGGCGGGAGACGCGGTGTTCCTGACGTTATAACGACATTTTGGCGTGCCACCTTAGTCATACAGGCGTATTTGTGAGTCACATCGGATAGTCTAACTAATTTTATGAATTTATTTTAGAGTAAATTCCATAAATCGTCCCTCTTTCAGGTTTTAATATGTTTGTTTACTTGTTTAGTTTCTATTTTTAAGAATTAACTTGGATCGTTCCTCATTAGTTTAAATTTGTATGTTACATTCTTTAGTAGACATAAAATGACTATATTACCTTCGCTATTTTATTTTTAATTTTATAATTTATTATGTATTTAAAAGAAATAGAAAAAATTAATTCCAACCCATCCTACCTAGGGCTGTAAACGAACCAAACGAACACGAACAAGGTCTTGTTCATGTTCGTTCGTTTAAGTTAGTCGAACAACAAACGAACACGAACGGATAAACGAACAAGATTTTCTTGTTCATGTTCGTTCGTTTAACAAATTACTTTGTTCATGTTCGTTCATTTATATTCGTGAACATGCTAAACGAACATAAACGAACAAACATAAACAAACAAAGATAAAAAAACACAATTGAACATATATAAACATAAACGAACATATAATATAACAATATAATAAAAAATAATTGAATATAGATGAATATAAATAAACTTAAACAAACGAACGTAAATGAACATCATAAACGAACGTTCACGAACATAAATGAACGAACGAGACCATTATTCATGTTCGTTCATTTAACTAAACGAACGATAATTTTTGTTCATGTTCGTTCATTTATTAAATAAACGAACATAAACGAACTTCCCGCCAAACAATTCACGAACGGTTCGCTGAACGTTCAGTTCGTTTACAGCCCTAATCCTACCCACTCCACTCCACCCTAAAATCCTAATCTAACATGCTATTATTTCCCATTTTCATTGTTCGGCTCAAAAAATCACTAACACCACCGAACTACTATTGTTGGAGTATCGACCACCACCATCGATGGAGAATCGCCCACCACCATCGTCGAATCACCACTCACCATCATTTTCATTGTTCAGAACTCTGTGTGTGTGTGTGTGTGATCGGATACCCCTTCTTTTCTGATCTAATACTCTCTCGTCTCAAATCTAAGATCTCCGTAGAGGGTGGTTGAAACCATCAAGTATGGTTTCGAGGAGGATTTCAAATGCCAACAACAAAGCAACCAACAGATTAAGGTTGATCGTGAAAGCCACCATCACAAGTCTTGAAAAAAATAGAGGGTTGTAGTTGTCGTTCTAGAGTCTCTTCGTTGGAATCTAGTGCCCATCTTCTCCGACAAGGAATGACGGAGCATGTGGCCATGCTCGTTTTCTCTCGCAATATGACGGAAACGAGGGGATCTAACGGTCGTAAGGTTTGATATACCACAGTCGCAAGGTTTTACGTTGGAGGCTCCTCCGATGGGCCATGCCTCGTGATTTGAGTCATTTTGATTTGTTCGCTTTTTGTATTGTCTTTCGAGATCTTATTCTCTTTCTCACCATCACTGATTTGATTTGTGGATTTGAATGGTTTTTGGTTCAACGACGATAATGATGTGTAGGTGAGGATATGGCCTGTGGCGGAGCTTGTGGCTGTGTTGGTGATTTCACTAGTGGTTGTGGGAAAGGTAAAAGAAAAAGGGGAGGGGAGGTGGGAGTGGTGGGTTAGGTTGGGGTGTGAGTTGTGGTATTTATTTTCTTTTTTAGTCTAAAAATAAGTTTGCAAAAGTCGTTAGATGGTGGTCGAGCGGTGGATTTGGGTTAAGGGACTAATCGGTCTAGGCGTGAATTAATTGGCGCCTAGACGGAGACCCGTAATTGTAATAGAATTTATTTCTTTTAAAATTAAATATTCTCTGGATATAATAATTTTTAGGCTCATTGAGAATTTTTTTTAACAATTTAATTATCAATCGTCATCATTTAGTTACCCAATATCATAAATATGATTAATCCGTGATTTTTTTTGAAAATTTTGACTGTCTGAATTTTTATCGGCTTAGATCGTGTCAACGCCGAGGACCGCCTACAACCGCCCAAGACCGACTCCGTCTAACTCAACCGACTAGCATTAATTGTAGACAGTAAGATGCCGTATGTGCTGATTTTTACAACATTGCTAAAAAATAATAAATAAACATAAAAACAATTAAAAATAGCAATGTAGTCATTTCATATTTGTAGGGATGAAATGTCTACCTTTTTAAGATATAAGAAACAATGGGAGTTTATTTTTGAAAATAAAAATTTTGATATGGAAATCTAATCATATAATTACTCTCTATTTTACAATATTAAAACTACTAACATTGGTTTGGTATCAATAGTTATCATATTTTGTATATTTCTTTTAGTAATTAATCATTTAAAATAGTCAACCTAAAACCTTGATAAATAAAAGAATCATGAAAAACTAACAACGGTGGAAGGGCCTAGTACGACGATGTGTCATATTTTTCATATTTATTAGAAACAATGAAACTACTTTAATTTGCAAAATTGTTCCAGATGGAGTTTGTAAAATCAAAACAGATAAATTGCTTATGAAATCAAAGATAGTTTCATTAACTAAATTTGATGCCTTCGTGTCAAATAATTACCCCACACTCTGATTCAAACTATGCAACTAAGTATGTAATATTAGCCTTACACGTGTCTGTTCTCATTATCTTTCATATGTTAAACTATTCCACACAATGGACTTTCTACATAATAATGAGCGTGGACCGAAAGATGATATGGAAGTTTAGGGTACATAATAATGAGCGTGGACCGAAAGATGATTTGGAAGTTTAGAGGCTGTTTGTTTTTTGTTTGCAGATCTGCGTGAGCACTTCTATCTGCGTCTTGCAGACCACGCGCAAACATATGCCCTTACACACTGTTTGTTTTTTGGAAGTGCACACACCTAAAAACGTCTGCGTGAAATCTTCTTACCACACACATGCCCAATATCTTCTAACATCTACACAACTCAAAAAAAAAAAAAAAATCCATCCTTCCTCCACCGATTGTTCTCCCCCTTCCGACCCACCACTATAATCACTGTCCACCATACACACCAAAATACCGACGATGCTTGCCTCCTCCTCCGTCCACTGCCGGCTTCATCCACAGGTATGAGAATCTGTTCTTCCCTAAAATCAGATGTCAGTTTCAACATCTAATCTGATTGAATAATAGTCACGTGATTTTGGGCATGTAGACTCCTTTTAATTTTGTTTTTTTGCTCATTTGAGTTGCTTAGTTTGGGTATATGAAATCCTTCTAATAATCAGGTTCATATAGAGGTGGTGATTTCATATTGCACACCAAGTGTTCGATAAAAGTCTTCAAGGAAAACAAAAGTTTTATTGGATCAAGAGATGCATCTTTAACACATCCTGGTGTTTGCAAAACTCCAAGCAATGTATATAGAAGTGTATAAAGAACGGAATACCACATTTGAAATTATTAGTAGATTATCTATTTCAACTCAAGTTCTTTGTGAAAAGCAAGATAAGAGCCTCCTTTTGAATCAAGTTGTGGTGTTTGTATCATGTCACATGTCAATGGCAATGATAACAAATGAGTTTAAAACACATAGATTGATTATCAAGATTGTTCGATGCTCAAGCAAGAAAATAGACTTTGTTAATGATGATCAAATGACCATATTGTGCTAAATGTTGTAGTTTCATCTCAAAGAAGAAGTTCAAGAGGATGGATTTTTAAAGTTTTTTCATTGTAAAAATATTGATATTATATCATTTTGTTTGTTGTAGTTTTTTATTATTATACATTATAAATATTGTTTATATATGATTTGTTTGTTGTAGCATTTTCTTATCTGTTATGATGAAATGATTATTAGATGTTGTAAGACTCAAATAAAATGTTGTAAAATTAGTTTATTTAAAATTCAGTTTATTTTTCAGCACTCTGCAGACGTAATACAACAAACATGCTTCTTATTACAGACTGCAGATGTTTAGTCCACATCTTTTGTTGCAGAGACTTGCAGATGTGGTCCGCAGACTGCAGACGTTTTGGCTTTAGAAAAAACAAACAGCACCTTAGTTGTATGTAAGGCTTTTGGGTAAATTATATGAGTGGTCCCTATAGTTTTGTGTAATCTGTACGGCCTTTTAAATACTTTTTTAACTAAGGATATAGAAATGAGAAAATTACAAATTTAATCTAATACACTGATTAATTTGTAGAAAATAACAAAAAAAAGTTTAAAATTGAAATTTTAGCCACTAAAATCACAGATGGAATAAAGTCATCTGCGATTTTGAAAGTCCATCTGTGAACGTACAAATGCCTAAAGTACAGATGTACTTTAGGTACTTCTACGTTCGCAGATGGAATTGTAAATCTGAGATTTTGCTGTTTCAACTGTGATTTCATGTTGGTTTTTGTATAAAACAGTTTTTTTCTTTATTTTTCACTTTCTAAGTTGAAGAAACTCTCTCTCTCTCTCTCTCTCTCTCTCTCTCTCTCTCTCTCTCTCTCTCTGATTTCCTTTGACGATTTCTTAAACAATATTGACGATTTCTTCAACAATCCTGAATATATGGTAAGATCTTAACTCATTTTATGTTTTAATCAACATTTATCTAGTGTATGTTTTTTTATTTATGATTTATTCTATTAGTTTTTGTAAAAAAAAAATGAAACTATATTGTGTGTTATTTGGTAATTATGTTGTATTTGATAGATAGAATATTATTTATTAGCAGCCTTAAAGTTTTGATGCTATTTGGTTAGTAGTTGTACAAATGTATAAGTATAGACTGCTTAAATGAGCATTGAGTTGTTGTGCATTTAGTAAAATACCTACAATATGTTGTTTTTTTACTTGTCGCTTGTTTATTTGTCGTTTATGTTGAAAAATGGTTACAATATGTGATTGGTTAGTGTTTGTATGAATGTAAAGTATAGACTGCGTAAAATGTGCATTGGGTTGTTGTACATTAAGTAAAATG